TTTGTTTGTTTGCTTGTTTGCTTGTTGGTTTAATTGTTTATTTGTTTGCTTGGTTACTGGTTTGCTTGTGTGGTTGAATGTTTGTTTGTGTGTTTCTGTGTTTGGTTCTCTGGATAGTCATGCATGTGTTTGTTGTTTGCTTGTGTGCTTGTTTTGCGCGTGTTGTTGTGTGTGTGTGTTGTTTGTTTGTGTTTGCTCGCTCGTTCGCTTGCTTGCTTGTTTGCGTGTTTGCTTATTTGTCTGTCAATGTGTTTGCTTGTTTGCTTGCTTGCTTGCTTGCTTGCTTGCTTGCTTGCTTGCTTGCTTGCTTGCTTGCTTACTTGCTTGCTTGTTGGTGTTTGCGTGCTTGTGGTCGTTTGTTTGTCCGTTTGCTTGTGCGTTTGTCTGTTTGTTCTTGTCTGTGCTTGTTTGCTTGCTTGCTTGCTTGTACGGCTGTACGTCAATATGTATGTTTGTGTGTGTGTGCATATACAAAAAAAGTATATGTGGCTGTACAGTCTATGTAGGTGTATGTCTACATCTCTATGTTATAGAAACACATACATAGATGCAAATGGGCGTCGGGTATCTGTGTATGTGTGCATATGTGTGTATACACATAGACTCACAGAAACATACGTTCATTCCTAGGGGTGGCAAACCCGCCGACTCTGACAGGATGATCTGCGTTTTGTCCTGAAAGAATAAGAATGCACCATTTCGTGTTCAGCGCTGGCGTGCATAACGAAGCCGCACGATCAGAAGCCCTTTGTACTTTCAATCAGGCCAATCAGGGGTCTTCTGTATGGCTGGCTGCCCGGAACCTGAAACCGGAAACCCTAATCCTGAGCCTGCGATATCATCTTCATGGAGGACCCTCAGCTCCTAGATCAGAGCCCTAAACCGCGCCCCTCTCGGAGGAGCTTTTAGCCTTGGAAGACAAAGAGCAAGCCAAGGCGGGTCCGCGGGTTTAGGCTTTAGGACTTGGGGCTTAGGGGTCCCAGAGACTCCAATATCCTTGAATTAAGGAATATACCTCAAATTATAGTAGGATCCCTAATATGATTTAAAGGATATTCATTAACTGAGGGATATTGGAGTCTCTGGGTTTAAGCCCTACAAACCCTTACGACAATGACGCGCTGCACAACGTCATTCCCCCTCCCTAGAAAATGGGATGCGAGAGCACACGCCCCTAAACCCGAAAACCCCACGAGTGTAGTTTTCGTTGAACAGCTAGAGAGCCATCATCAACCCCATGAGCCCAAAGTAGCCCAAAGTAGCCCCAAAGCCATAAGCCCCTGTAAGTCATACAAGCCCATAAGCAGCTTTTGTAGCCCTGAAGCCCTGAACTACAAAATCCCATAAGCAGGTTTTTAGACCTTTAGGGTTGGGCTTTGCTTGAGCGAACACAGAATGGTTTTTGTGCTGGCTTCTGACAGCTTGCTGTTTGGAACTATGCCATAAGCAGCGATAGTGCAGCCCTCTAGAACACTTATAAAGTCTAAAGCCCACCAAAACAAGCCCCAAGCACTTTAACAGAAGCCCTCATGATAAATCCCGTGCTGAACCTCTACAAACCGTAGGCCCAAGAGAAGCCTTGAGCCCTAAACTCTAAATCCTAAGCCCTATAGAAGCCTTCCCTAAGGGTCCGTGTACCCAAATAGTAATACTTTTGCCCCAAAGTATCTTTTTAGGGACTACATTAAGGCCAAATATATACTGTTTGGGTACACGGACCCTTAGGGCTATAGAAGCCTTGGCAAACCTAGAAGCCTGCTACCCGGGAGCTCCCCCAAGGCGTCCAAGAAGGGCAGCCAGGCTGCACAAGGAACGGCCGAGCAGACAAACGGCACCAAGGACCAGCCACGGTTTAGGGTTTAGGGTTTAGGGCTCAGCGGTGGCACAAGCTTTCGGTTGGCCTGGACGATTGTTTAAAAGCATAGCTCGTCGCATAGCATGTGCAATCCGTCAACCTGTAAGAAATGTTCGCAAGGGTTCCAGAAGGGTTCTTTAAGGGGTTCATACAGGTTTGGGGCGTCGGGTGCTCCGCTTCAAAGGATCTCGTAATAGTACAGGAAGGGTCGGGGAAGTGAAGGAAAGGACTAGGCCAAGATCCCCCTTCTACCCTCTATAGGGCTTATAAACTGGGACCATCATTATACCCGTACTTGTCGGTACGGGGAGGGGCGGGAAATAACTCCCACGACAGGGACCAAGGCTGGCATTTAGGTTTAGGACATACTAGGGTTCAGGGTTGTTTGTTTTGGGGTTTAGGGTTTAGGATACTACTTTTGGGTTGGATTTCTGGGGGTTTGGTTTTCGGCATTTGTGATCTCTCTAGCAAGGTCTTTAGAATCCGACTTCAGCATAGGGTCTCTGGGGGTGCTGCAGCAAGTCCGAGCAGGGTCCGAGCATCAGATCTAGGCGAACAACACATTATGTATTCCTGCACGGCGTCGGTGTCAACGCACAAGATGGCCACAAGTACGTACTCTTCAACGTCATACAAGCCCTAGGAGCGTGCTCTGCACATAAAGGTGTGAACCCCGGCCACCACAAACAAGGGGCCCCACAAGAACTTTCATTCTATGGTTTCTCCTATGGTTGATGATATTCATCCTGCATTTCCCACAAGCAGGAATATACCATAATTCCCCTAGTGTAGGGTGCTTAAGGTAATGCAGGATTTACATCATCAACCGTAGGAGTAGTCCTGTTTTCGGCGTGCTTTGAAGGTTTGTTCACGATGCAGGGTTGCAAGCCCACACCCAAAGGGTACCTTTATGGAGATTTCTAGGGAATACCGACCCAAGCCATAATTACATAATAGTAATCTCTATTATAGAAACCTTACTTTCTATTATGGTAATCTCGATTATAGAAACCTTACTTTCTAGTATAGTTTAGGGCTTAGGATAGGTACGTAGGACTCTTGAGGCAGAAACCCTAAACCCTAAACCCTAAACACTAAACCCTAAACCCCAAGCCCTGAATCCCGAAGCCAAAGACGGCAGGAGCGAAGAAAGAGACAAAGACAACGAAAGAAAGAGGCGGCTAGGTCCTCGGTATCACCAGGGGCCTACGGGTTTAGGCTTTAGGGTTTAGGGTTTAGGGTTTAGGGTTCAGGGTTTAGGGTTCAGGGTTTAGGGTTTAGGGTTTTAGGGTTTAGGGTTTAGGGTTTAGGGTTTAGGGGTGTATAGGGTTTTAGGGTTTAGGGCCTACAGAAGCACGGAGCACTTCTTTCTAGAAGCTTGAGGACAAAGATTAGAACATGAGTTTAGGACCGGATCGGAGGACGTTAATTACAGATTCAGGGCGCAACTCAGACTATACGGGCCTCAAGAACATCAGACTCATCTAGGTTACTTGTTTCTCTCTATCTTTTTCAAGTTTGATTTTGTGCGTGTGGGTCTTTGCGCATTCGTGTCGCTCCGGGTGTCTCTGCCGAACACAGGACTGGAACCCTAAACCCTCAATCCTAGACCCTGAACCCTGAGGACCCAAGGTCAAGGGTCGTTGGGAGGAGTACCCAAAACTTTGTCATAGTTGGGTAACATTTTACATTTTAAAGGGTACTTAAACCCAATAAGGAATATAAACTTAAATTTTTAATACTACCCCAACCATGAACTAGAAAATCCTAAACCGTACTCCGTAAGTTCTAAAGAACCCATGCCTTGAGCGTAAGCCGCAAAAGCCTAAAGCCTAAACCCAACCTGGAAACTGGACCCTTAAGAACCTTCCTTTTTAGGGTTGCTTATTATGAATTCCTTCTATCAGTCCTGAAAGAGGTTGGTTTTTCCGGGTCTAGGTATATTCTAGACACAAAAGCCCTAGACGAAGTGTTCTATAGACCCTCAACCCCGAAACCCTAAACACCCTAAACCCTAAACCTCTAGACCCGAAACCCCGAAACGCCCGAAACACCCTAAACACCCAGAGCCCAATACTCGTTGATAAACCCTAGGGCCCCACGGCCCGAAGACCCTTCGTGTTCTGGGAGATCCCTAAACCCTATATCTTAAACTATAGTAAGATCCCTAAACCCTATATCTTCATGTATAGTAAGATCCCTAAGCCCCATATCTTCAAGTATAGTAGGATCCCTAAGCCCTACATCTTAAAGTATAGTAAGGTCCCTCATATGATTTAAGGTCTATATTCCTTAATCAAGGGGTCTTCGATTGGACCTCAAAGAGCTCCCTCAACACCGAAGCCGAAGCGGCTCCTGGCAAAAGTCCTCGGTGATGATGACCTACGAACCCTAAGGGTCCATGTACCCAAATAGTTTAGGGGTCCTTTAAGGGTTCCTTTAAAGGGTTCTATAAGGGTACCAGAAGGGTTTAGGGTTTAAAGGGTCCATGTACCCAAATAGTAGAACATTGGCCTTAATGTAGTCCCTATATGGGTACTTTAGGACCAATGTTCTACTATTTGGGCACATGGACCCTTAGGGTGAAGTCCATGGCCGAAAAGTGCCTTGCAGGTTTCAGGCACAAGGAGGGTCCTGGGACTTTAACGTAGGACTAAGAGTATTGCGAAACCCCTTTATTACACGCCATTTAAACGCCCTAAGCCCAAAACCGAAAGGCCGATAGGTCCTGAACCCTAAACCCTAAACCCTAAACCCTAAACCCTAAACCCTAAACCCTAAACCCTAACCCTAAAACCCTAAAGCCCTGAAGCCCTAGAGCCCTAAGCCCTAAAACCCTAAAACCCCAAAATCCTAAACCCAAAGCCCTAAAACCCCAAAATCCTAAACTCCCGGCGCTTCCAGGCCAAAGCAGCTTCCGCCGAGCTCCTCGCGGCCGAAACGGGCGCGGAAGAGGCGGGAAAGCAGGTCAACCCTAAGGGTCCATGCGGTTTAGGGTTTAGGGGTTTATAAAGGGGTTTAGGGTTTAGAGGTTTAGGGTTTAGGGTTTAGGGGTGTAGGGGTGTAGTGGTTTAGGGTTTAGGTTTCAGGGGCCTTAATAATTGAAATAGGGTTTGGGGGTTCCTTTGAAGGGTTCCTTTAAAGGGTTCTATAAGGCTATAAGGGCTGCTAAAAGGGTTTACGGTTTAGGGGCCCTAATAATCAGAAAAGGGTTCGGGGGTAGATTATACTATATTTTTTAATCAGGAACCCCCAAAACTCTATTCTAAGTATTAAGGCCCCTGCATTACGCATTTAGTCCTACAGTAGAAACTTTGGCCTTAATGTAGGTCTCATTTCCGTGCTGTAGGGCTCAAGTGTATACGACATGAGTACACGGACCCGTCGGGTAAGCCTGCGAGAGGAGTTTGGGGCGCAGAGTCTAAATCTAAGTTTATTTGGGGTGTGGGGCATCCTGAAAGCTTTGGATGCACAGGGAACTTCAAGAGATGAGGGCATGAGGGTTGTGACGGCTTGAGACCTGAATTTAGGAACTAAACAAACGACTAAGTACAGAATAAGAAGAGCAACACAAATAGCAACATCAGGATGAACCACCCTAAACCCTAAACCCTAAACCCTAAACCCTAAACCCTAAACCCTAAACCCCCCACACCCTGAACCCTAAAATGTGAAGCATAGTGCAACGGTAGTTGCGGTGCATTCGGCTTGTCGGGCTGAGAGTTGCAAGTTTAGGGCTTGCTATCGGTGAAGTAGGATTTTGGACAATTTAGGGATAGGGTTGAGGGGTTTAGGGGTTTAGGGGTTCAGGGGTTTAGGGGTTGAGGGTTTAGGAGTTTAGGGCTTAGGGTTTAGGGGTGTAGGGTTTAGAGACAGGTAGGCAGGCATGTGGGTAGGTAGCTATGAATGCACAAAGACACAGAGAATACACGCGCGCAAAAGTGCATCCAAAGGAGTGCGTGTGTGCATGCAATATGCCTGTATGAACCTGTACGCATCTGTTCGTATTGGGTTCAGTTTATCCAGCTTTTCTATGTACGTACAGGAAACGCATACATATGCATACACGCAGACACATGCATGTGCTTGTCTGTGTATATGCATTACACATATCGCAGTCATGGTGCAAACTCCTTTGACAGCATGTGTTTTCTGATAGTGATGTATACTAGTTACATTGTCGTGTATGTCTCGTAGACATGGAGAGAGGGAGAGAGAGAGAGAGAGAGAGATAGACAGCTTCATGTAGTCGCACACAGTTACCATGGCAGATCTCGCTGCATTTTTTGGGTCCAAGCCCTGGACCGCAAGGCCTAAATCCCGAACCCTACACCCCAGACGCGACTTCCTTAGGGCGACCTCGACGATATAGACATGGAGTTCAAACAGCGGGTCTTGGAACACCTCCGCATCCGTGCTGAGGAGGCCACGGAGGGGTGTAGGGGTCGTTGGGGTTTAGGGGCTTAGGGTTTAGGGTTTATAGGGGTCATGTCTGATCCTGGGTCCACGGGTCGACAGGCAGCCTCGTGCCCCAACAACAGGAAACTGAAGAACGCCAAACCCGACTCTAAGCGCTTAAACCAAAAATCGTGAGCCATTGGAAGCCTCGCAGAACCCTTATAGAAATCGTATGAATACCCGATCTCAAAACGTTTCTAGTACCCTTAAATAGTTACATAAATACCCTGTCAAGAAACCTGAATAGAACGTGTGATGGAGCAAAGGTTTCTGATGCCCTTGAAAGGACATGAACGGCGTCGTTTAAGAAAGTCTTGATGGAGCTTTTCAAGCAACCCTTCAAAGAGCCCTTACAACAACATCAAGAACCCTTCAAGGAGCCCATCCTGCTGTTGGAACCGTGATAAACGACCTTCCTGGTGCGCTGACGGTAAAAAGCCCGGCCTCCTCCGCCATCGACAGGGACGAATCCCTGCCCCGCAAATCCACAGAATGACTGTTTTTTCGCGGCATGGCCCCAAGCGAAGCTGGACGTGGAGGCAGCGGAGATTGTCGCTGAAAGATTGCGGCGGATGACAACGAGGTCACCAACGGACCTCATGATATGTACCAGAAAGAGACAAAAGCGGAGCGAATTATTGAAGACTGCAATCAAGTTTGGCAGTTCTCATTGCGGAGAGACGCCATCAGAGCCATGAGGCAAGAGGAAGTGTTGTGCTCGTGTGCAAGGGGCAGAGCTTCCCCGCCAGGGAAGTGTCCTTGAGGCGACGGTCCTAGATGTTTTACTGCACGTTTCTGTTCTCACACTTATTTCTAATAAGTTGTGACTTCTGGGATGTAGTACAGTCGTTCAGTCTCAAATTCCGTATAGTTTCAAGCAAACTCCCACTCCCGAGCCCATTCGCTTTCAATCCTTGGACCACACCCTTACGCGCGCACAGTGGTTGTCTTCGACACGTTCTTGTCGGTCCAAGCTTTATACGGGCTTCCCCACAGACCATTACTTACAGAAGTCCAGGTCAAACTTGCTCAGACGAATAAGCCCACAATTCCCAAGCCCAAGCTCAATCGTAGCAGTCCCACCGGTAAGAGACTTTAATGTTTTAATAATCTAAACCCCAAACCCTAAACCCGAAACCCCAAACCCTCAACCCTACACTCTGTGCAGCTGAAAACGGGCCGGAAACCCCCAACCCCAAACCCTAAACCTGAAACCCTAGGCCCTAAAC